TATCCACTCAAAAGTCTATAAAATTATATATATAAGTATAGCCAAAGGATCTACTGGCAGAACATTTTTAACCTCTACATTTGTCTGTTAAATACTGTTTTATAATATCATAAATTAATCTTTCTCTACTTTCTTCAGCCACTCCAGAATATATATATATATATATATATATATATAATTTTGATATTCTCATAGTGGTTTGTCCACACATTAGCTACACAAAGCTCCCTTACGAGTGACCAAAGGATTGTAATGCAATGTTCACAACACTAGGAACAGAACACAGGTATGGATTTTTTTTTCTTTTATTTTTACATTCACTTCATTCATGAAAATGTTTTTATGCTAAATTATATCTGTTTAAAAGCAGTGGGAATAGTCTTCTATGACAAAAAATAATGCAATTTGAGTAAACTATTTGGATGACTCAAAATTTTTCATTGGATATATTTTTAAGTTCATTGTGTTTAAACAACAATAAAAATAGGATATTATTTATTGAAAACAACCTTTACTTATTAGATGTAAACTGATCTCAACCAAGGATGTTGTTGGCAAAAGCCATTACACAACATCTGACAAAGGTTACAGGATGCCATTTTGAAAGGTGAATTCCTACATCACTGATAAATCTTTTTCAATTTTTGCCATGATTTTTATGACTTGTAGTAAGAAGTGGTGGCAGCTTTAGTCAGCAAAATAAAATATCAAAAGAAACATATTAATTAATATTCAAATAAGTAAAATCTGACTGGTTATATAAAGTTTTATTTGTTTGTTGTGCATTTAATGGTGCAAAATAATGAGGCTATCTGCACTAAACAAGTTTTAGTTGTCACGTCAGCAAAAAAGTATTAAAACAGAAGTAAAATATGATAAAAAGGTAGAAAAAGACCAAAAACTGTATTTTTTTTGTTGTGCAAATGAAGTTCATATGTAAAGAGAATAAACAAAGCCAATGGCCTGTAAAAATACGATCAATTAAGACAGTGACTCCATCTAACGTCGAAGAAAAACCCCAAGACAAAACATACCTAAAATGATGTCGCTGCTGGCAACTGCATTGATGGCATTAATGTAAAACATGGGCAACTGTGGTCGATGTTGCCAAGACAACTTTCTCTTTCCATTCCTACATACCCTAAACACCAACAAAAGGCTTTACCTAGAAAAGCTAACTGTAATGTTGCTCACTCCAAACTGACTGTCAACTGGTGTGAAGTTTTGTCTTGAAAAAAGGCCTGGGTTCCACATAAAAGATAGGCAAGGCTGCAACATCAGTGCCAGTGAGCTCATTCTCACAAATACCAACAGAGCAGAAAATCCAGAAAAATTGAATGGATAACAATGAGAAATGAGCCAGTCTATTCTGAAAGTCCTAAAAAACTGAGTGAGAGGATGACAATTAGAAATGAGCCAGTCTATTCTGAAAGTCCTAGAGAACTGAGTGAGAGGATGACAATTAGAAATGAGCCAGTCTATTCTGAAAGTCCTGGAGAACTGAGTGAGAGGATGTCAATGAGAAATGAGCCAGTCTATTCTGAAAGTCCTGGAAAACTGAGTGAGAACTCACATTAATCAATTCCATCCCCATAAAAATACACATAAAAGGTTTACAAGAACAACAACGTGAAACTGTTTGCTGTGGTGGTCCACCCCTACAAGCGAGTGCAGTCTGACACAGAGGCTGTTTGCAACTGTAGGAGGAACTTGTTCAGCAATATCATTGATATTAATGCTGAAAAGCATGACACTCAAAACACAGCACTAACGGATGACAAGTTCCTGTGTGAAGGATTGAGACAACATTGATCCCACACAGACTCAGAATTGTTTGTCACTTTAAAAGTTATGAATAAAAATGGTAAATAGCCATGTAACCCAGAAGAATGGAGATCCTGTAAGATGCCAGACCTTGTTGCAAGACGAACCAGGTGGTTCATGGCAGAGCACTGTTTGCAGAAACCTCACTGGGTGAGTAAAAGGAGGTTGTATGATTCAAGGATTCAAACAAGATGACCATTAACCATCCTTTCCAAAACCTTACAGTAACAGCAAGGAATCTCGGGATCTTTCCCAGTCTTAGAAAATTGAATGATAATAGCCCTACACCATGCATCTGGAAAATCTTCTTCCTGTCAAATCCAGTTATAAAGAATATATATAAAATGGAACTTCATAAATGAATAATAAAAAAAATGAAATTCTAAGATAAAACAATCTCGCGAGAAAAGTTTAAAATTTTCACAACCTAAAAAAATTATACAAATACTAAACAACTTTTATACATTTTTTAAACATAAATTATTTAGGAAGTGTACTAAGTTTAAGTATTTTCACTGTGAGAAGAAACAAAATGGGATATCAGTGACTCCAGTTCAGAATGGACCAAGATCTGATACAGGTTCAATCTTGTAGAGTAGCTTTGGGAACACTTACACAGTTCTGACACTTCACCTGATATATTCAAATTCTGACCACAGTTATACACTTTTTATAGTAGCATTATGAGCATATAGACAAGTCTGACACGTAGCTTGAAAAGTTTAAGTTCTGAGAGAGTTACAGACTTTGTACAGTAGCATTTGGAACATACACAGAGTTTATAATTTGCCCAACACTGTAAAAAGCACAGTAATAACTGGAGGGTGTATAGAGGATGGTGTGTTAAGGTCCAATGTCTACAGAGATGAGAATGAGCAACAAAATAAAATTCTGAAATATTTTCAGTATAATTTATGTCAATACGTTTGGTATCAAACTGTAGATTATAATTCACATTTTAGTATTATACATTATTCAATTTCTTAATTTCAAAGCAAATATTAAACAGTTAAACATAAATTTTTGTGTGTCTCATGGTATGCTTGAATGCAACACTGGTTCAAATTAGATGTTTGTGATGTCAAAATGCTAAGTCTATAGTTTTGTACGAATTAGGAACTCAAATTACCGATATTGACAAGATGGAATATAAAATAAGAACCTCATATCTTTTCAATTTGCTGAGATATTGCTCATGTACTGAATCAAACACAGTGGCCCCACTCACCTCTTTGCATTTTTGGAAATGGTCCCTTATATATACACTTACTTCAGTACATGACATGTGAATAACAAATCAAAAGCTAAGAATGTTCCCCTAGTGGCTTTCTCAGCCACTTTAAAGTGTTAGGACTCCATCTGCTTCTTTCAAACCAAGATTTCAAGGAGGTAGGTTGTGTCTTTAGTCTGCTCAAAATTTTATATTTTTTTAGACTGAAACACAGTTTAATTACTAAGCTTGATAAATTATAGTGGAATTCTATGGTATCAATAGAGTAATTTATGATTTGTTTGTTATTTAAAATGTATATATAAAACCTAAAAAATTTCTTTTCACATTCTCCACAAGGAAAAATTTCATAAGGCTTAGCAACCTATGACAAATGGCAAACAAAAACAAAGGTTGTAACTAGAAGAGATAATTGTTTGCTTTACTTCTTTATTTGCTGTTCTATGTTTTAAGAAAAACAAGTTTAAGAACTTATTTCTAAATAGTAATAATCTATATATATATAATGTATTATAATTGAAGTGTGACTGTATTTTACAAAATACTAGTTTACTAAAACACAGCCAAACAAATCACTTTGTAAAGACTAAAGGTCAGTTTTATATTATGGGATACAGTAACATGAGTGCTCATGTGCCACATCATTGTAACCTCTGTATTGTTAGCCAGGAATGGCTGAAAGGTCAATATAATAAAAATAAGAAATATATCTAAATGTATAATGTTATATATAATGTCTAAGCTATTTAGTCTAAACATTCTAGAATGAAAGAGGCATAATTTATATTTATTTCCTTTTTTTTTTATTGTGGTTACAAGATCAGTCAAACCTATCAATCTTGTACAGAGATTCATTACTGAAAATAACAGATAAAGTACAAAGTTTTTTCTTAAAAAACATTTGATACCTATCTGGACATTATAAAGATTTCACATGTGAAATCTGAAAATTTTCTGATGCATAAAAGTATTTTTAATCATCAAATGAAAATTACTTTGCATGTTGGATAGGCAGCATGCAAAAAGAAAAAAAAAAGCATGAGAAAAACATTGCTTAACAAACCTTAAGACTGAATATAAAAAAAATTTATATTTTGCATATGACAGCATTGTAATGTTTACTGATAATCTGCCAAATTTCGTTTCCATACACTTATTAATTTAAAAGTTATAGCACGTAAACTATAACAAGCACAAACTGGTTACGAGGTCAGTCCCATGGACCAAGTCTATGCTGAAATACTTAAGTTCTAATGCTACAATACACACCTTGTATAGTAGTATTACAACAACAGCTTATGAGATGAGAAGCATATCTTCAATAAATCAATCACATATGTCAAAAAGACAGTAGTTCAGAGTCAAGGACATACATTTAGAATAGAGTCAAGGTCATACCTTTAGGGTAGCATGAAGAGCATATGGACCATATGGTGGAGAATCTAACTTTGACAACTGAGGTAGAGACAGGAAGTTCTCAATCCTTGAGTTATAATAATGAATAATATGTGGCATCTGAAAATGAAGAATATTCATGACATTGTAGTGAGTGTTCCACTACTGTAGTACTCAGTAATAATGAACAAGACAACTAACATAGTACATTTAAACAAGGAACTTTTGTTAGTAGTATTAATAATAAAAGTACTGGTACAAAGAAAAACAAAAACATTTTACGCAATGTTTGCAAATGCTTCTACAGTTGCATTACATCATGTTTTAAAAAATTTTGCCAAGAACAAAGCCTCCTGTCTAACATTATCATTATTTTGCTTTGAATAACAAGAAATTACATGGAGTTATTTCAAGTTAATAATTCAGTGTTTTTAACTACAGTTGCCTTCGTATTGGACTGACAAATATTTTTTAAGTGTAGAGTACCATATTGATTCTTCACTTTAGCAATTGAGGTAACATTAAACTAATATTAACAGAATCACTGATTTTATCATTTATAAAATTTTGTCCATTAACACAGCACTCAACACTAAGTGTAAACCAACAGTTCAGGGCAGGGAAAGTTAAATATTGATTCAGGCAAGTGGTTCCAAACTCATGTGTGTCTGACAAGTAAAGAACATTTCTTTCCATACTTTTGCTATTAGCAGATAGTAATTATATATTTTTACATAAAATACTGGTTTAAAAATAGCAAAATAAATCTAGGAGTCTCCCTTTTTTTTTTTGTCAAAATTTCTTAGGAATGTTTCAACAGATAATTTTACTTACATGATAAGAGCAAGTAAATTTTGCCAGTGCTGAATATTTACTAGCTTTCACAAATAAATCTTCCCCTCTAAGTTTACAAGCACTGGTGTGCAATAAACCACTGCACAGGAGCAAATGTGTACCAACCCTTCATATTCAGGTCATGACATTTTACAGCCTTATATTCAAAATTTAATTAAACAGGTTTATTATCAATGTGCCAATAAACTTCTCATGAAAAATATAGTTTATAATTCAAGTTTGTAACTGAAAAAAAATTTTTTTTAAATATCAATTTTCATTTTTCTGTGACCCATCTAATTTCCAATTTATCAGAATTATAGTACCAGATTATAGATTCCAGCCAATTATAACACAAATTATACATAATTATATGCAAAAATCAAAAATTGTAACCTCCTACCTTCTTCATTTGCTGAGATATCAATAAATTTATCAAACCCAGCAGAGAAACCCCTTCCCCCCCTGTCTCTTTGACTTCAAGATTTTTGTTAAAACTTTACATGGCTGATGGACATGCTTAAGACCAATAGAACAAACAGATTATTCAATATATGTATCTTACAAGTTGTTGATAAGTCTTCCTGCCATATACCAGTAGTGAGCAAAAACTTAGTTTGTGGTGATCATATGCTGCTATTTTGAAACCTAAAGAAATTTTTGTAACCTATTTGTAGCTTACTTAGAAAGCCAGATATATTATTGTAGTTTCTGGACACATCCTGTTCTAGTGATGTATAAATATATGTTTGTGATGAACAACACAATGATGGCAACAGTAATAAGCATCTGACACGTGCGCATGGTAACAAGCATTTAATTCTTGAACGTTCTGGAACGTACATATTCCATCTTCAGTAAGCTATATCGAACAAGGTAAAATATTAGATACAATAATTTCTAAATTTCTACAGTTCTAACATTTTGTAAATAGTAATTAAAATACAGAGTAAAAGAATGAAGTCAATTAAAATAACAAGGAAGAATAGAATAGTGTAACAATATTATACAAGTTATTCAAAACAGACTTAATTGTAGTGAAGTCGTGTTATTATTTAAAGTTGGGAGTTCACTTGTAATAGATAAACTTTCTTTAATTATAAGTTCAATATTGGATGGACAGATGAGATGACTTTGAAATTTTAAATTCAAGATGGGATGGGACATACACACACACATGTCAAATGTTTGTTGTTGCCATCATTCTATTGTTTATCAATAAACGTTGATTCCTGTCAAATGAATCTGTCGCTGGTGTTATTAAACAACAATATAGGTTTTGCATTCTAAAATTAATGTGAAAATTAGTTGTTTGTTGTTAAGCACAAAGCTACAGAATGGGCAATCTCTGCTGTGCCCACCACGAGTATTGAAACCTGAGTTTTAGCGTTTGAGCCCTCTGACTTACTACTGAGTCACTGGAGAGGGGGCAAATATCTGAAAGTTACATGTATTTTCAAACACCCAAATGTGTAAGACTTAATGAAGAACATCTACTCAAGTGGATAGTGAGTACTACAACTATATCTTCTTTATATATTGTCATATATTCCATAACAAAACTAACTGAAATGTAAGAATTATAAACTTTTCAGCCTAACTTAACAAACCTTCAATAAAAATAAAGATCTAAAATTTTACTAGTTTGAGCTACGTAACATAACAATCAAATGGTAGTTAAGTTAGTTCTATGGGAAATAGTCAATGAGCTTCCACTGTGATTTATTACTTTAGATGCTTACTCCACAGTACAAATGACATCAATAAAACCCGGAAGATTAACAGAAAGCAGATGTGAAAAGACTAACAGTCAAAACTGTGAAGATAAGTAACTTGGAACTTTCTAATCAACAGAGCAGTCAGTGTAGAAGAAAAATGGGTATTATTCATTTTATTTCATATTTTTCTACTTTCTCTACTTTGATGATTTTACTTCAGTTAGTTTTAATGTGAAGACAAAATATTACGTTCTTACAAAAACAAACAAACTAGACATTCATTTAAGAAGTTCATACGGTTATGCAAATAAAATATGAAAACTGCATTTTGAAAAGAAGTAACTTTTCTTAGCGCGAAAATCACCTTATACTCCAGATTGGCTCTGTAAAGGCTTTAGAATTCGCAGACAAGTTGAATCTTTAGTAAAAAATACTTTACTAAAGATAATCATCTCTCTGTGTACAACAAACTTGTAACATTTACATGCCAAATTTTGTGAAGGCACACATAGTAAATTCAGAATTATAGTATACATTATTACATTTAGCTTGACAGATACAGGATTGGTCAGTTTTACTAAGTCCATCAACAGATGATTAAGAAGATTACTGAAGCACAAGATGAAATAAAAACCCCTCAGAAAACCAAGTCCACGTTTCTTTTACCAACTTTTCTGTATTGGTTTTGTTAATGGCCAAAACAGACAGTATGGAACTCTCTCACCCATGTACAACTCTGTGATATTGTTTATATATGCAATACTTTCTTAAGTTGAAAATAACTATTACCAATAAGTTGTTCCGGTATAAATATTTTCAGAAAATACTTAGAATCTTTACAACTTCTCAAGATTACCAGTGAAGCATTATATGATTGTTTGTTTTTAATTATGCACAAAGCTACACAAGGGCTATCTGTGCTCTGCCCACCACGGGTATCGAAACCCGGTTTCAAGCGTTGTAAGTCCGCAGACATACCGCTGTGCCACTGGGGGGCAACATTATATGATTGTTTGTTTTTAATTATGCACAAAGCTACACAAGACTATCTGTGCTCTGCCCACCACGGGTATCGAAACCCGGTTTCTAATGTTGTAAGTCCGCAGACATACTGCTGTGCCACTGGGGAGCAACATTATATGATTGTTTGTTTTTAATTATGCACAAAGCTACACAAGGGCTATCTGTGCTCTGCCCACCACGGGTATCGAAACCCGGTTTCAAGCGTTGTAAGTCCGCAGACATACCGCTGTGCCACTGGGGGGCAACATTTAATGATTTAGTAATCTTCAACTAAAGTGAATTACTAAGAGAAAGGATTAAGGTTTCTAACAGCAGTTCAGTAATAAACCAAATTTTCTACATAACTTCTATTCAAATAATACGATGCTTACAAACCAGACACTCAGGAACATTTTCTTTAATAATCTGCATGAAGGTGAAATGCTCTGTAGCTAAACTCTTACCATAAATGTCATAACAATCTTATTCACAAATCATAGTAGCTTTTTTATAACTAAAATCCTGCTATAAATGTCATGGTAAGGTTATTCACAAACCAGATAAAAAAACAAAAACTTTCTGTATCTCATATTCTACTTAGTTTTATCTATGAATAAAACAAAAAATTTAAAGATGAACAACAGGGCGACGGCAGCATCAACGAACATTTGACACACGTATGTTTAGAAACAAACATTCAATTCTTGAATGTTTCGGAATGTACATATTCCAAAGTATTCAAGAATTAAATGTTTGTTACTGTACATACATGTGTCAAATGTTCGTTGTTGTTGCCATCTGTCCTGTTGTTCATCATCAAACTTCGATTCCCGTCGAATGAATCTACAACAAGAAATTATGTATTTTTGAATAAAAAAAAACAACTTTTTGCTAAGTTTCATAGCATTGTCAAATCAATATATGTGAATAATGGAAAAAAAAATATTGTGTATTATGTGTTGCAGTATCAACAGCAATACTACATCACTAAACAACAGAGTAAAGAAAAGTCAAACACAGTTGTTACACAGAACAAAAAATACACAATTTACACCTGAATACGAGTTAATGATAGGTTTTTGTTTTTAACTAATACAACTTCTTTGATTTTTTATCTATTTATATAATTTTCTCTGACAATGATTTTAACATCTAAAAAAACTAAAAACTGGTTATTTTGAGCCATGTGCTCAAACACAAAGGAAAATAATTTTAAGTCTTCTTTTAATCTTGGAGATACTTGTTTGCAGGTTTCTCCAATGTAAAAATTACCACAATCTTTGATACAATAATAATGAAATGTTTTTGTACAAATTTGCACAATACACAATTTTTCTTATTGGTACAAAGGAAACTTGCACATCTAAATCCATGTTGTATTCTTTAATTGTTTTAAACCAATTTTGTGGATGTCATGTAGAAGTCTATCGATTTATTCTTATAACACAGTAGAAAGATGGTTTAACTTCAGGTTGTCATTCATTTTCATCAGATTATAAAGTTTTACTTACACTTATTTTGTAAGTTAAGTTGTGTTTACTTAAATTACTCTTCACATAACTTACAGTACGACTGATATCAAAACTATCAATGTCCATATGAGCATCCATAGTAGGCTCAGGAATTGTAGTAATCTCTACGGGCCTCAGCTCTCCTTGACGGTTTCCCTGAGTAATTGTGATCATTCGACGATTGGTACGAATTGTTATAACCCGACCACTACTGGCACTAGTAGATGTGGTAAGTGTTGGCCGAACAAATCCTTCTACACTACTCTTATGTCCCAACTAGAAAACAACAAATGAACTTAAGTTTAACATGTTATTAAAGAAAAAAATTATAAACTTACTTGAGAACATTTATTCATTTTATCATTAGGTAACAATTATACTTAAACCTTTTCATGCAAAAAAAAGCCAAGGGAATCTGAAAACTGGTTTTTCCAGAACATAAAAATCCAACTAAAGTATTTGTTTTATTTCAAGTAACCTTTCTATAGCTTGATCATTACCTGCAATCTGATTAAACTTTAACAATACAAAGAATATAAATATTTGGTTTATGACATAAGTAAAAACTTCTTTCTCGTGATAATGGTTTTAAATGTAGTTTTTCCAAAAAAAAATTCTTTATTGATTTTTTAATGTAAGGAAGCAACTTGTAAAATTCTTACTTTCCAAGTGCAAACTTGAATACTATTATTAAATTCTCATATTCATAAACAAAATTAACAGAAAATAACTAAATCACAGTTATCATCATACAGATGGCAGTTACTTGTTTACTTTCAACAGTCAACCAATTAAAATCTTCAACATCACCTTCTATCTTACAAGATCAACTACCATATAATTACCATTCTTTACCACATATAAATAATTACCATCGGGTAATTGGGACAGAGTCATACAAAAAACTCCATCCACTGTATTAATATACTATTCATTGGGATAGAGTCATACAATGAATTCTAGCCACTGTATTAATATACTATTGATTGGGTCAGAGTCATACAAAAAACTCCATCCACTGTATTAATATACTATTGATTGGATCAGAGTCATACAAAAAACTCCATCCACTGTATTAATATACTATTGATTGGGTCAGAGTCATACAATGAATTCTAGCCAAAGTATTAATATACTATTCATTGGGTCAGAGTCATACAATGAACTCTAGCCACTGTATTAATATACTATTGATTTGGACAGAGACATACAAGGAATTCTAGCCACTGTATTAATATACTATTGATTGGGACAGAGACATACAATGAATTCTAGCCACTGTATTAATATACTATTGATTTGGACAGAGACATACAATGAATTCTAGCCACTGTATTAATATACTATTCATTGGGTCAGAGTCATACATTGAATCCTAGCCACTGTATTAATATACTGTTGATTGGGTCAGAGTCATACAATGAACTCTAGCCACTGTATCAATATATTATTGATTGGGACAGAGTCATACAATGAATTCTAGCCACTGTATTAATATACTATTCATTGGGTCAGAGTCATACAATGAATTCTAGCCACTGTATTAATATACTGTTGACTGGGTCAGAGTCATACAATGAACTCTAGCCACTGTATCAATATACTATTGATTTGGACAGAGACATACAAGGAATTCTAGCCACTGTATTAATATACTATTGATTGGGACAGTCATACAATGAATTCTAGCCACTGTATCAATATACTATTTATTGGGACAGAGTCATACAATGAATTCTAGCCACTGTATTAATATACTATTTATTGGGCCAGAGTCATACAATGAATTCTAGCCACTGTATTAATATACTATTCATTGGGTCAGAGTCATACAATGAATTTGAGTCACTGTATTAATATACTATTGACTGGGTCAGAGTCATACAATGAACTCTAGCCACTGTATCAATATACTATTTGTTGGGCCAGAGTCATACAATAAACTCCATCCAATGTATTAATATATTAATTAGCTGGCTAGAGTCACATTAAAAACTCCACCAACTGTAATTAATACAATACTTACTTGACCAGAGTCATTTTGTCCCCAACCCCACAATTTATTTCTGTTGTCCAATGCAAGAGTGAAGTCAGAGCCACAGCAAATAGATATCATCTTTTTGTCATTCAGGGAAAGTACCATGCTAGGGGTTTTCTACAGAATATGAAATTCACATTAGTTATAAATATCAGGTTTAGTTTAGAGATTATAAACACTTTCAGCATGTAATCACACAAAATCAGGCTTCCTGTCATAGTGTGTATGATCATATGACACTAATTATTAATTAATGAATATTTTTATTATTATCATTACTAGATACAAAATTCCGTTTTCATTAAATGAGCTTGACTTAATCAAATTGTATCTGTAAGATATTTTTAAATTTGAGTTTATTTCTGTAACGAGGTTCGTCCATAAACTTAAAATATTTTGTAACCATTAGGAATACCATTTTTATAGTATGATGTCAACGTATTTAATAATAGTTCATTTTTCTCAATTTTTACCTTAGAGCAAACATATTTATTTTTTTCCAAAACAAACATAAAACTGACTTGTTCCTTTCGACTACCATGACCTAATTGTCCCTCCATATTCCTACCCCAAGAATACACCTCTCCATCTGTTGACAACAGCACTGAATGATGACTTCCACAAGCCACCTGAATATAAAGGGAATAAAAATAAATCTAATCAATACCTGAATAACACTTGATTGTAAAAAATATACAAATAAACATTACAGTTAAAACTAATAACAAATGTTCAAGTTCCTCCCTTCAACCAACTGACACAATTGCCTTCATCTATTATTTTTTAAAATAAAATAAAATTTTATAAAAGTAAGAGGTCATAGTTTATGACACAATATTACCAAACAAGAATGTAACACTCAAACCATTTTCAATGTTATATTCTTGTTTGCTGTGTACTTGAAACAGAAGTTGTTTGTTACTTGTGTATATTTGAATATATGTGTATACGTGTATATATGTGCATACTTGTATATGCTGAAGTAGAATGGAAATTATATTGTTTAATAATAATGTAGTTTACGCTCCATTTGAATTAATTGCACCAAGTGATAATTAAACAGGTAAGAAAAGGTGTATATTATATGGGCTTATTTGAACAGGTTAAATTGTCTTGTATGTAGGAAGCTAAAGTAGGATATCATATCCTATTGCTTTAGGAAATATTAAAACTGTATAATTTTTCTATTACCTTCTGTTACTCTGAAGCTTTAGCAATAGTAAATTGTCTTCTTTCACATTTTCCTTTCTTTGTCTTGTTTACTGTGTACTTGAAACAGAAGTTGTTTGTACGGTTTCAGTGTTATATTCTTGTTTGGTGTGTACTTCAAACAGAAGTTGTTTGTGTGGTTTCAATGTTATATTCTTGTTTGCTGTGTACTTGAAACAGAAGTTGTTTGTGTGGCTACACACGTATACACAAGTATACACGTATATACATATACACACATGTATACAAGTATGTACACATATACACAAGTATATACACATATATACAAGTGTATACACATATATACAAGTATACACGTATACACATATATACAAGTATATACACGTATACACAAGTATATACACGTATACACATATATACAAGTATATACACGTATACACATATATACACGTACATATACACATATATACAAGTATATACACGTATACACATATATACACGTACATATACACATATATAAACAAGTATACACATATATACAAGTATACACATATATACAGGTATACACATATATACAAGTATACACATATACACACACTATAAGACGATATTTTCTATATGCACTAAAATTATGCCACTGTTTTATTTCCAAGTTTATATTTAAGATTTTGCTAAGTTAGATCAAATACCCTCTTGACAGTACAAAGGCCCACAAACAAAATGCTGTGAAACAGAATTGAAGATAGTGTTTAACAAAAAAAGCTTGTCTTTAAAAATTTGTAATGCATCCTGCAGGGACTTTTGATAATAAAGTTAGAGAAAAACAACCTTTACACTCTGGATAATTATAAGAGAACTTGTATTTTAACCAATATCTCAACTTTGTAGCTTCTAGTAAAGGTTGTTTTTCTCTAACTTTATTATCAAAGTCCCTAAAATGTTTACTTAAATATTTTTGCTTGTAGCTGTTTAACAACAAGAACAAAAAAAAAGCAAGAAGTAACTTCCTAGTGTTAAAATTCATAAAAAATACAATATACTCCTGCAGAACTGGTTTTTCACTTTGATTGAAATATGAAGAACTCAACAAACCATTCAATAAACTATCAAACACAATTAGTATTTAGTATAAACACAAATTAAGTTCATGTAAAACATACTTTGAATTATATATAATATTTTACTTTGTATAATTTTTCTATGTCACTACAGAACACTGACTCTGGTAATACCACATTCATAAAACACTAATTCTGGTGCTATAACATTCACAGTACACTAATTCTGGTGCTATAACATTCACAGTACACTAATTCTGGTGCTATAACATTCACAGTACACTAATTCTGGTGCTATAACATTCACAGAACACTAATTCTGGTGCTATAACATTCACAGAACACTAATTCTGGTGCTATAACATTCACAGAATACTAATTCTGGTGCTATAACATTCACAGAATACTAATTCTGGTGCTATAACATTCACAGAACACTAACTCTGGTGCTATAACATTCACAGTACACTAATTCTGGTGCTATAACATTCACAGAATACTAATTCTGGTGCTATAACATTCACAGAATACTAATTCTGGTGCTATAACATTCACAAATAACTAACTCTAGAGGTAAGATGTTACAGAACACAAACTTTCAGAAAACACTAACTGCATAAAATGAAAATTCCTAATGAGCAATAAATAATTTAGTAAGACAAAAGATGATTGATTGGTTGGTTGATTGCTAAGTGTTTTATGGTGTAAAGCACCAGGGCTATCTGCACCAAATAATCTAATAAAATCGAAAACAAAAGAAATGAAATTTCACAAAAAGTAGAAATATACTTGAAACTTTTTTATGTTTTTTTGTAGTGAAACAAGGTTGATAAACTGAAGAAAATGAAAAAGGTCATGAGCCCATAATAAGTTAAAACTTTGAACAATCTGAACAACATCACCAACATGTAAGGTAAATGTCATGACAAAATGTGTCAAAAATGATGCCACCACTGAGAACTGTAGCTATGGCATGTAATTAAAATGTGGGAAAACATGACCTAAGTGTCACAAAGGCCACACATGGGTGGTCAGTAGTCCCTTGGAGAGGAAATGCGGCCGATGTAGAGCTGAGATAATACAATTTCCGCTCTCCGATTCTTATGACAACTGGACAGCGAAACAATCACAGTAGGTTTTATCTGGAATAGCTTGTTCTGATGCTGTTCAACCCAGATCGACTGCCAACTGGTAAGAAGCCCTGCCTTGACGACAGGCCTGAAGGCACATAAGGGACAAGCAGGGTTGTGACATCACCAGATCAAACAGATTTAGTTGCAATATCAGCGAGCTCAATCTCATGAATACCAACATGGCCAGAAATCCAAAGAAACTGAATTAATATGAAAGATAAAGAAAAATGGGCCAGTCTTTTTGAATGTTCAAAAGAACTGGGTGAGAACTGATAGCAAGCAATTCCAGAGTCTGCAAAGAGCTAAGCGAGTCATTATAAATAGTACAGTCCATATACTGTTTAGTCCTGATATGACCCAAGGCAAGTGAAATGGCATATAACTCAGCAGCAAACAAAGCATCTGTAGATGGTATCCTGTGAGCAACTACAGTCACAAAAAACGATGGCATAGTCCACAGAGTCACCCGACTTTGAACCATCTATAAAAAATAGGGACAGAAGAATGATATGAAAGGTGTTCATGAAAAATATAACAGTACTTCTAGTCAAGACTTCTTCAGATGACTCAAGGAAAGGTCAGAGATGGAGATGGTAACAAGCCATGGTGGAATACAATTATCATCATATTCTGCCATATCATCCAATGTTAAGCCCAGCTCACTCAATTGCACTTGGAGACAAAGGCCAAAGGTAGGAATAGCTGATTGTCTATTTTTAAAAAGCACAGCTCATTGAAGCATGAAGATACAATGCCAAGTTGGATGCTGGACGTAAGGAAAAGAGCTTTGCAGCATACTGTAAAGACAACTGCAAATATCAGAAGTGAAGTGGACTTTCATAGGACTCAGTATAGAAACTCTGTACCAGAGAAGTACAGAAAGCCCCTGATGATGTACAGTGTCCAATACCTTCTAGGCAGAGTTCCAGGCTGAACCATAGACCAGAGATCAATAGTCCAGCTTTAATCGAATAAAGGCATGATACATCTTTAGCATAGAACACCTATCTGTTCCATAAGAAGTGGAAGAGAGGATGCTGAAGATATTCAGTGCCCTTGTACACTTGACATAAATCTGCTTAATGTGAGGAATAAAAGACAGCTGACAGTCAAAGAGAATCCCCATGACCTTAGTCTCAACCACCAAGAGAATAGCAGTACTCCCAGATGAAGCTCTGGATCAGGGTGTAGTCCCTGCTGGTGGCAAAAGTGCACACAGATAGTTTTAGGTGATGAGAAAGTGAAACTTCTTGAGGTGGTCCACTCTGATAAGAGAGCGAGGGAAGTCTGAAGCTGCTGCTCAATAAACTTCTTATTCAACAACTGACAAGATATCTGAAAGTCAACATAGAAGCAATTAGCAACTATGGCAGGAAGTTGTACGGTGATAACATTGAGCTTAATACTAAAAAGTGTGACACACTAGGCACAGCCCCACGGGGCCCCAAAGCTCCTATGTGAAGGATCAAGATTATGTTGATTCCACACAGACTTGGAAGGACCTGTTGGATACAAAAACTACAAAGAAAAATTGGTAAATAGCCACATAACCCACAGAAGTAAAGGTCCTATAAAATAAACTGCCATGTAGTATTATAAGCCTTCTCCAGATCAAAAACGATTCTAACAAGATACTCCCTCTTGAGGAAGGGTTCCTTGATTGACATTTCAAGTTGAATCAGGTGGTCCACTGTGGATCACTGCCTGCAGAAACCACACTAAGGGGGTGAGAGAAGGTTGTTCACCTCAAGGAACCAAACAAAACAAGCATTAACCATCTTCTCCAAAACCTTACAGATGCAACTAGTCAGAGGAATAGGATGATATTTAGAAGGAATCTTGGGATCATTCCTAGGCTTAGAAAAAGAGATGACAATAGCCTTATGCCAGCGTTTCCCAAACATTTTCGGACACGGAACATTTTTCAGCTCTAAAACTATTAACAGAACCCTTAAGAAGCAATCTTAGGTTAAAAAGTTAAATGATAAAAATTATCATCAGAAGTTTTCAGTTTAAAGTTAAGTTTTGTTCCAAATGATCATGGAACTGGTAGATGCTGGAAATGAATTTAATCCAAGATTCCTTCTGGCTTTGATGTCTGACCTGCATGGGAATGAGTCTGCTAAAAAGCCATTCAGTTCTGAAGAGCGAAGTATCTGCGGAAGATATCCAACTTGCATTTCTGAGCCTTTTACACAGGTAAGCAGTCAGGAGTCCACCATGGACAGCACTAACATAACAAACGTGTTGACCTTTAGGGATAGTATGAACAGCTACCTAGACAATACAGTCAGTAACTGCCTTCACACAGTCATCAACAGAGGCGAGGTCAATGACAGCAGGATCAAGCTCTGAAAGAGCAGTGAAGGAGGGCCAGTCAGCATGCTTCAACTTCCATTGTGGCACACAAGTCGGATGGCATCAACTGTAGCCAATCTCCCTCATAATAATGGGAAAAGTATCAATGTACTGGGAGCCATTGTCCACCCTCCAAGAAAAACTAGGAAAAAGGGAATGTGAACAAATCAACAGTTCAATGCCAGTAAAAAGACTGATTAGGGGTGTGAAAAGAAAGGTTATGACCTGAGAGCGTACATTCCACAGGATATTATCACTACCCCAGAGTGGCTTTTGTCCATTAAAGTCTCCCAGGATGAAGAAGGGAGAAGGCAACTTCTCAACAAGATCAACGTCTGCTTGATCGGAATCTTCTCCTGGCAACAGATAAAGGGTATAAAGTGTGATGGTACAACCACTGGAGACACAGATGGCAACAGCTTACAGTGGTGTATTGTGTGGCACATGAATGTTGTGCAAATTCTAGTCAACTAGCAACCTATCTTTTCTGTAAAGGTAAAAAATTCCAGAAGGTGATAGTATTGGCAGGTCCTAATAGTATCTCTCGTAAGGAAATATATACAGGGGGATAAGAATTCATCAAAGCCTTAACGTCGTCCCACTTAAAGCATAAACTTCGACAGTTCCAATGTATCAGAGTGACCATTTTTTACCTAGATGGTGTGGAAAATCTAGGTTTTTGTTTTAGTTTACCACCACAGTTATTTTGTGTATATAAGAAAGAGGGTGATAGACCTACATGGAACCTGACCTGATATGAGCACAATTCGTATGAATGAGTGGGGGACCAATTGATGGTCCTACACATTGGGGCCTATTGAGAAGGAACCAAGCATTCACTCATTTCATTGTTTAGATCAGAGATGGGAGTAGACATTGACTTATCTACTAGCCTTTCCATAGAAAGTAGGAGACCTCTGAAAATGGGAGAGAAAGATTACATTAGAGGAACAATGAGATCCATCTAAACTCCCACCATGGCAGTGAAACATACTGCAGTAGCATAAATCTGTTTGGGAAGAGGGGGTTACCAACTTCTACACCTCCAAATAAGAAATATTGTTAACACTCTTAAGTTTCTGGACCTCTTTTTTCTTCCATCCATTTCGGTCATGATTGAGAATTGGATGGATGGGAACCTGAGAAGTTGACACATTGAGGCTCTATCTGGCACTTGTTGCCATCATAGTTTTTGCTATTGCAACGACCACAAGTTAACTGATCTTGGCAACATATTTTTAATGTCCAAATTGCTGACAAGGAAAACACAGTGTGTGTTAGGAATGTAAGGTTAGACTGTACAGTTCAGATATCCTGCCTTAACTCTTTCCATATGGACATCCTTTTTTGCACATTTCATGAGGTTTTACAGAGTTACATTTGAAATTTAATTAAACTACTTTATTATCATGGTATGCGAATAACCCTGGCATCAAAACATAGCTGATATTCCAAACTTAAATAAATTATATATATTTTAAGAACTTAATTTCATAAGGCAATATTTTTAAAAAATCCTAAATTTCCCTAAGTATGAGAATTGTTACATTTGCTCTTTAAACGGTTCCCCTTTTCTACTTTATTCACCATTCCTCTGAGACGCATGGAATTTAATGCAAATTACTCAGACAAAGCATAGTTTTTATAGTCTTCAATTTTATTTGGTCACAGGGCCATAAACTAGAAAATCAGACCACTTTTGCCACACCCAACTGTCAAATTCTCTCTTGAACAAATTGCCAATAGTTCTCTCTGACATTTAACACTATATTATTCATAACCAATAGAAAGCCAAAGGTTTAATCTATCAAATGACGTATTATATTACATTGTTTTCCATACAGAGAATTGTCTATTTCACTTCCAGTTCAAAGTTTATTCCCATGGGTAACACATCGACAAGCTAAGCTGACTTTTAAACAGCTTTTATCGCATAGTTAGAAAGCCAGAAAAATTGTGATAGTTATGGATCCTTGTTTGCTTTTCACATGTTATTATCCTGTGTTCTATGGTGCATTATTTAATTAAATAAAAAAATATTTAGTGTAGTAGTACCATTAGTATAAAAGAGTAGGGTTAAGTTTCATTGACAGTCGACAGATACAAAAAAGAAGACCCAGGTAAGTATTTCTTGTTTTATATGTGTAATCTTTACTTATTTTTATAAAATTCAAAAATTTTTAGATTAGATTAGGTAAATTAAAATATAAAATAAAAAATGTTCATGAGGTACATTCATAAGCAACTCATGAGTAGCCTATGTGGTACATAATTAGATAAGGCTGCGTGAGCTACACATTTGCGAAGTGATTTTCAACATGCCTGGTGGAAATATTAGTTAGACACGGTTCAAAGGGCAATAAAAAAATATAATTTCAGTAAAAACAGATGTATACTGTTATGATTTTTAAGCTATTCAGGATAAACAAGTGTAGTTTCATATTACATTCGGAAGTCATTCTAGAAAGAAAAAATTTAATTTAGATTTATTTTGTACCTTTATATGGTGGTTACGAGGTTGGTCATATTGACCAACCTCATAAGAGTTAGGGTAGAGAAAATATCAGACAAAATATAATCTTTTACTCAAAATAAAGTTGAAATTTATTTAGGAAGTTTTAGAGATTATGCAAATGAAACTGAAGAATTTTCAGATGAAGAAAAGTATTTTTAATTTTAACGTGAAAATCACATTGCACTCGAAGCAGACAATACTTTCATTCACTCCATATATTCATGGAGAATTTTTTAATGAAAGTACTTCATTAAAATTCTGATTTTTTGTCTACAAAAGACTCTTAATGCTTACTGAAAGCAAAACTTCGAGAAGATACACAAAACATATTAGTAGTTATAGTATGGAAACTATAAAAGTCAATTTGGGGTCACAAACAGAGTCTGTAGCAAGATTGTTAACAGTGACTGGATGATGTGGGATGTTGTCTGTCAAAATTAGGATCCTAGTTGGCTCAGATATTCCAAGTAGAAACACACCTCAGTGCAGTCACTGTCACTTCTTGACTGGAAAGACCAGTGAGTAGTTCCAACTCTGGGATGTCAAGTAGATTCTTCTCCACTATAACTCCCCTTAAGGAATTCAAAGTAGTATGGGGAGTAACATCAATGGGTATATCCTCAATACATTTTTTTACTTGAAAAAAGTTCATTGTCATGTGGTCGTGATATTTCAATCAATGGTTCCTCAGATCTTAATCGACTTGAGAGAGCTGGCAAGTTCCTCAAAGCCCTTTTTAATAAAAAGTGGTGACATTTTAGAAACGACCTATCAGAAAGAGAATGCGAGGTTAAAAATCAAGGTACATATGAAACAAGTGATGATGCCAAGACAGTGACAATTTCTTCCTTCCATGGTCATTTACAATGATTGTTGAATATCCATAAAGAACAGAAAAAAATTTCAGTACCCACCTACCTCATCTAACATGGATGGAGTCCTACAAGGGGATACACCAAACTGTCTAACTAAGACAATGAGGCCATACCAGGGTTTCATGGGCACTATACCCTCACACCAACATTGGACATAACATCCACAACACCCCTTGAGGATGTCAGATATATGGCACTTTGTTGACCCTAGCTCCATTGCACCAACCAACTGCCCCTGGTGGTGTGTGTGTGGGGGATCACTTGTCTATAGGAATTCAAGGCCAAGGTGGTGTGTTGCAGTGCCCCCAACACTACTCCTCCATTGGGATCCTCTTTTATCTTTTACAGGTTACCACACATAAACATGTGGGTGGATGTTTGAATCCCAGAGGAGGTAAACTGTACAGACAGAACCTTCCCTGGGAGATCCCCTCACCATGTATAAAAAATCTACATCAAAGGAACAAAAGAAGAAGTATTGTTTATGGGTTTCTTTCAAAGCAGTCTCACAACAAATTTTGGAAATTTCACAAATTAAAAGAATAAAGAAATACTTAACCAAACTGTATTGTTCTTTTAAAGTATAAACTAGATACAATTTCATACAAGTTTCATACAATTTGGTTAAGTATTTCCACTGTATCAAGGAAAAAAAATTAGGGGATGTCAGTGACACCCTCTAGTCTGGAACATCATAAGTAATTTCATCACTATTTATTGATATTCTAGATACTTTAAGCCAACTGTGTCATCAAAGACATTCGAAAGTCACAAAGTTATTGATGTTTACTGAAAATTCTGTTTAGTTATACCTATTAACTAAAACATACACTTTGAATCTTATTTGAAGCATATTTACATAAAACCTACCAGTTTTATTTGTCCATGAACTACAGAAGTGTCTATATGTCTTGGCAGAAGATGAACCTGAGATAGTTCTGTTGGTCGACTAGAAGATAATGGCTGTTTTGAGCTTCCCATAGGAATCACAGGAGATGAAGATATTTCTGGTGGGCGGTTAGCCCCCGAGTGTTGCCTGGCTCGACGACTTGACTGTGCCTGAAGTCGCAACACTTGGGGATTGCAACCCCACATGTACAGCTTGTTTGTAGTTGTTACTGCAATCTGGGGGAAAAAAATCTCAGAAGTTGAACAGTAATTTGTTTGTAAAAGCATTTTTTTTATTTTGAAAAAAAAAAGTCCATAGATATGGATTCTTATAAATTTTCCCATACAATGTACAAGATCAACTTATTAATAATTAATGAAGAATTTAAGTCAATTTGGCTATTACCCGTAATGTCATAAGGAAGCTTCAGTTTTCATCTTTTGAACCTATACTTTCACTGTAACCGAATGTCACCTCTTAACCCTTTCCGAAACTGAGTTTCAAACTTCATAAGTTAAACATTTTAAAATATTTCAACTTTCATTTCTGTCACGTCTTTTTTTTTTGTATTATTTTAAAGATTATATTTGTTACCCAACCACATTTCAGCATTTCCACTTAGATTAATGTTTATTTTACATTTTTATGATTTCTGTTTAACTGTGCATTCACTAGTTGAACTCATGTTTCATTTATATTACAGCTTAGAGGCACCTTAAGAACAATGAATAGTTTTCAACTTTGAAAAGGAATACAGTGTATAAAGTAAATACTCACCAGAAAGGAGAGGTTATAACCTTTAAGCCTCAGTAATCTAGATTACAATACATGTGCATTGTCTGAAGCATGATGAGCTTGGGCCCAGTTATAAAAATACACAAAGTAATTTCCAAAAAAACGTTTTGGATATTTGTTTTTTAGTCTCCTAATTATGTTCTTTTTTGTCACTGATACTATGTTAACTCCAAACTTTAATAAAAATACTTCTGTACCAAATCATCAGGTAAGAATTTTTAGGTTTAAAGAATACAGGTAGTCAAAAGCTTGTGATGGAAAATTATTTAAATGACCCAAATATCTTTTAATTAATACATTCAATAATTGTTAGGGTGCAAATGTTTTTTCTAGGCTGGCAAAATATGATTATAATTAATTTTACTTCTCATGAGACATTAGTATTAGGACTATTTTTTATCATTACGTTCATTATTCAGTCCCTTTTCAAGAAAATTATGATTTTATAGTAGTATTTCAACCACACTATGTCTGCCATATCCACTGCTGACAATGCATTTCATTCAATACAAAGCAATTCATACTATGATGATTAAATACGTAATAGTGTTGCTATTTTAATAAGTAAGGTCACTATTAACTGAAATATCTTTGACAATCATATCATGTTAGAAGCATGACTCTCATTCAAAAACTGATTTGGGGAGTAATTACAGAATTACATAAAATATGTTGCTCGTTAGGAACAAGACAACTTCAAAAATTGGTAAGGTGACTAGTGATCCAAAAATAGACTTCGTATGGCCAAAACTACTACTGGTAAATACCTGGAGGAATGCAAGAAATAAAGAAAAACAGGAATGTAAACAAATGAAAAAACAAAAAGAACTATTTAAAATAAGTAATTATTACCAACCTAAACAGAATATCTGACTGTCGTATAACTCAGTATTATACTCACGACATGGAAATATCCAGAAGATAACATGTGAACAGTTTCTGGTAAATCTACATGCTGAGGCCAACAGTGTTTACTTAATGTGCCTTGTCCTATCTGCCCAAACATTCCACAACCAAAAGTGTACACTTTTCCCTAAGCAAAGATTGGAACAAAAAATTATTTAAAAATTTGGTGATAAAATAGTTACATAATTGAAAACAAAAAACAAAAAAACATGCTAAAGTATACACAATTTTTATATTATAATTCTAACAATAGCAACTCGTGGCTATTCTTCTCTAAATGAAACAATCGAAATAATTTACATTATTGCACAAGTTTTCCAAATTAGCAAAACAAAGCTTTTTATTGAGTAAATATGATGTTTTTAACAATAAACCTCTCACTGATCTAAACTAAAACAAATGATCCTCTTAACAGGTTTCAAAAACTTGCCAGTTTTGTTAAGATGGCAGTGTGTCCCTGTCCAGCAGCAACAGCAATGACTTGTTTATCTAGCAAAGACTTCACTAAGATGGGATGATCTTGGTCTTCTGGGTTCCCTAATCCTAGTTGGCCATGTACTCCCCATCCCCAACTGTACATCCTAGTACAGAGAGAATAACAGTCACACCATTAACTACTCACTCAGGTAGAGAGGAGTAACAAGATTTACAAATGGCCTTATTTATCCACAAAACATTGTAATGCACATTGATTACTTTAACTGTAGTCAAGTAACGATCATACATATACATTAATGTTTCATTAAATTTTATTATGGACATTACAAATATATACAGAATTGGAAATAATTATGGAAATGGTGAGGAAAAAGGAAATAAAACACCAGTATGAACTTCAGTCTCGTGTTGATAGTTATGATTGGTTGTCATCCGAATATGCCACAACCAACATGCACTAATTATTGTATGAATTCAGTCACTGCTGTTAGGACTGAAACACCAGATGTCAAGCAAAGTTCTGGACAGTCAGAAACACTCCATGCAAACAGTCAGAGCAAGATTTTGAATATGGTACCTGAAACTGGCACTGATAATAATAGAAGTGGATGACGTAGAAAAACAAAACTCTCCAAAAGATACGATCAGTACTTCAGGATATGTTGTTCGAGAGACAGAGAGAGCGACAATGGTCGAGTACAGATCTTTCCAACGACCTTACTATAAATATGAGTATGAATATTGCTTTGAGAGCAGTAAGATAACATTTGCCTGAATTGTTTCAAATATGGATGTGCAGCTGCTGAAAAAACATTGTTCAAGGGGTAACCAAACCAAAAAAGTTGAAATGGAAATCAAAGAACAAACAGTTAAATGAAAAAATAATGAGATGTGTAAATAAATAAATAAATCCAAGTCAAATTGTTTAACAATAATCAATGACAATCTGTTCAATATCAGGGAGGAGAATGGCATCACAGCGAACGTACAATATCTACAATGAAACATGGTGGGAATCAGTACAAGTCTAGGGCAGCACTTGAAGCACATTATAATCTATGATGTAATTCCCACAGGAACACAACTCATCCTACAGGGATTCCTTTTTTTCCATAACCATAATGATCTTAACAACTAGTTTGGGATTGTCTAGTACTTTTGGGAACTAAGAATTTTTACACCTGGGTGGCTAGCCCAGATAGCAACCATATAGGATGAGCATGTTTAGTGACATGGATTCCAAATCACAACCCTAAAATTGTGAGTCAAGTGCCCTAACCACAAGGCAATGCCAGACCCAGCTCATCACACAGGAATTCATGTTCCAGAAACATAATAATCACAAGCAACAAATTGGGTAAAACTATATCTTGAGTGTAAAAGAGACAAATAGAACACTCATAACCATGACTTGGCATACACAAAGTCCTGATATGAATGTCCTTATGGCCTATGTAAAAATTGAGAAGGTCAAAAAATGACAAAATAACTTTACAGAGTTGTGGGAAGTAATGCAAGACACGTATAACAAGATGTAATGCTCTGTACAGAGCAAAGGGTTGAAATCTACCATCCAGTTGCCATTACTGATTCTTTGTGACCTCTGTATGTGTATTGCTTGTAAGTTTCCATAATTACTTCCACTGTTGTGCATGCATAAGACAATAATCTAAACAAGATCACGCATGTACATTTAACATTACCTTAACCATAGTGTGGATACCACAATGTGGACATATATAACACTAACTCTAGACTGAACACTGCCATATTTTTTATGTGTATCATACTCCAAATCTAGTCAGGACAAAGTTATACAGGTATGATCATGATACATCAAGGTTAGTATGACATTACCATACATGTACATGTATCATACTTCAAAATTTATTTTACATTGTTATACTTACAAATGTATAATATTTGAAAACTAGTTTTGCATTGCTATACATGTATACGCATGATGAAAAAAATTATGATGCTTGAAAACTAGTTTCACATTGCTATACAGGTAAGAGTATGATACTTGAAAATATTTCACAGTGTTATATACACATGTGTGATATTTGAAAACTTGTTTCACATTGCTATACATGCATATGTATCATACTTGCATATCAGTTTCACATTGTTATATATGCACATGTACGATACTTGAAAACTAGTTTCACATTGCTGTACATGTATCAGTATGATACTTGAAAATTAGTTCCACATTGCTATACATGTATGTGTGTGATACTTAAACTCTAATCCAGATTCTGCTTTACGTGTGCCTTTCTAACTCTTGTCTGGACACCACCAAACATATACCTGTATGACACATTAACTTTAGTCTGGACACCACCAAATATATACATGCATGACACATTATCTCTAGTCTGGACACCACCAAACATATACCTGT